GTTCCAATATTATTATTATTATATTATTTATTATTATTATTATTATTATCTGATATATTTGTGATCCAGCTGCTACAAACTCTAACACCAAGGATCTACATGTACCTCAACATATCGGAACAATAATTAATTACAATTCAAAATTGATCACCAAATGAGTAACAAAACAGAAATCCCAAATACCAAATACTTACATACAACATTATGGAAAAAGAACTTAATATCTGATACCTAAATATACACCATTACCCAGACATTAAATACCCAAACCAACCACAAAGATTTAACAACAAATAAATCATGGCTGAAATAAACAAACCTGCAGTGTGAAACCAACAACAGTTTAATTAGGACAACTTTTGTCAATAAAGAAACAGATTAGATGAATACATAAACAATATTGATACACCACTAGAATAATTTCTTAATTAAGAATGTTATAAGTGTCATACCAAACTAATACGCATAATATTATGCAAAATGTATGAACTATTGTTACTTAAATTGCATCATATACAAATAACGTATGTTAGTTCAATCTAAAATACATATATATAAACAGTAACTATTATTTAATTCATGCATAATCTGTAAATAATTATATTCATTTATTGTATAAATGTTTTATATGCAAATTGTTTGCATATTATATGAATCTACGGAACCTGATGATAAGTCCTCTGACTTATCTGGATCTAAATAAAGAACGCTAATACAACATTTACAATATCACAATAATATTATTATTAATAATATACACTCCATAATAATTCTTTATATTCGTCAATTCAAAATCTCAAATTCAATGTTAATTCATTGCAATAATTATCTTGTCATACCATATCCCTTAATCTAAACTGTACACACCAGTATGTATTTCTAGGCCCCATCTCGATCCAGCCGTATTGTTCAGTTTCCCTGGTCCTCTGAGCATAATGCTGGAGATGAACCGTTGTTTTGCTCTGTAACACGTAACTTCGCTCTCATCCACCCAGGAATCAAAATCTCCGACTCGTCTATAATCAGATTCGTAATTGTATATGCTGAACTCAAATTATATTATTTTAAAAAAAAGGACATGGGAGTTTCAAACTGACGCAATCAGACTATTGAATTTAACTGGTAACAAGTTCTAAACCGAAATGTCCCTTAAATTAGTTTTAATTTTGTGCACTTTCGAGCACTTTGAACGGGCCGTGAGCTTCCATGCGATGCAGCTCTTAAAGCATCCTGTTTAGACTGGATATACATATATTTTCTTTTAACATAGATGATTTAAGTAAACTTAAACAACCCACTGGTAATCCCGCATTCTTCACGCGACTCTGCATTTTACGGCTCGATCGTTGATTGGGTGGGCTGCCGTTGTACTCGACCGTGAAAGACGCGCAAAACTCAAGACCATCCCTTTATAACTGAAGCAACATTGCAACACCTTTTTCATAAAATGCATCCCAAATTTCCTAATTTTTCCTGTGGCAGAGGCAATGATCGCTCACTAAACAAAAAATACGGCACACAGTTCATATTTTCATTTGAACTTCAGAATTGGCATATTATGCTAATAGTTCATTTTTTTTTTCCTTTATTTCCTACAAACGCAGAGGTGTTATGATTTTTATAATAATAATAAGCGTATGAACCGTTTTTAAAAAATCAAGAGTTTCCTTCCTATTTTTTGTGTTGCAATATAGGCAATTTTTAAACCGAATTAATTTTCCCAAAACTCCAATACTACCAAAAATGAGTGCGAGAACAACATTTTCGTTAAAACTCCTCAATAAAATTGGCCAAAGAGTATCGCTACATCACAAATGCCCAAAAATGTATGTGCTGCTTCTGTCTAGCACTATAGACCTACTATCTGCTGACTGTAGTTTATGATATACTTATAACTATGGTATGTTATTCCCTTTTAAATTAACCTTAAGCCTACAGAGATACACGAGTGTCTTTACAGTGTTTACTTAAACCAATATTACAATCATTCGATTCCCTGTTTATCGAATTTTTTTTTCCTCCATTGTTGCCCTTGTTCATTTGTACCTTCATCCACTAGTCTAATGAACCCACTATTTCACTTCCCTTTTCTTAATCCCATGTGATAAATAATTAAAAAACACCATCCATTTCGCAAATTTACAATTCTATACAATCTACACCTTTCACCACAGCCAACTCTAATATTTTTGCTTATCTGAAATTGTTCTGCTGCAAGAGATAGATTACTCTAGCTCAATAGCACAAATCATACATTCCATTAATTTTCCTCGCTTCATTTACTAGTCCCTATGCGTTAGACCACTTTTCAGAGTTCGTGACTGGACAATACAGATTAGTACTACACAATGAACCTGCTGTCACTGATACAGAGGCCATGATATAATAAAAAGCATTGTTGAAAATTCTTTAATGATATTCATATTTCAATGTTTCAGTCTCCTTATGATGAAATTCTGCTACACGGATCTTTTGACGATGAAATCATCAGTCCTTGTATAACAGTCGACTCCGTTGTAGTGAACTCAGCATGATAGTAAACTCTAAGCATTCGGTCCTTTCCACTTAACTTACAAATAAACCATTAGAAGATTTCCATTTAATAGTCGAACCTGAAAGAGTTGAAAAAAAATCTGCCAAAGGCATAATTTACAGAAGTCTCCCTTTGAGGTGAGATGTAGCCGGACCAGAATGGAGACCCTTGCTGATGCGTCCTCAGGCACTCAAGTTTATACTTAATGTAGCTGATATTTGCACGCCTAGAAGCATTTATTCCTAGCCGTACGGGGATTAGGAGTTGCCGACTCGCACAGCCCACATCCCCACTGAACCCACAAGAAAAGCGATCAGTTTCATCTAAGTTGCTTGTGCCTTCCGCTGCCTAAAGATCTCGTAATGTTTATTAATCCAGTAAAAAGGTCTTTGAAGATGTGGGTTCCCCAAGCCACAGTGCACAACGATTCAAGTCGCGCCTGCAAGACTTATATTCACAATACTTAAAGACAGTGGACAATAGCAGGACTTACCGTATCGGATGACCTAGCACGAAATTGGAGAATATCTAGAAAACGAAATCATAATGAAAATTGTAACGAGCAAACAACTTGACAAAATTGATCATAGTTAACCTATGTATATCAGTCGAAACTCAAAAATGTTAACTTCCTCAAAGTGTACTTAACGGATCAATGCATACATTCCTGGAAGAATGATTTATTCTGATTCACCTTTGCACACCGAATTGGCTTTCAATGACACCCAATCCAATTGAAAAATCAATAGTGTATTCCAAAAAAAAAACAAACAAAAAAAAAAAAAAAAAAAAAAATTATCTTTGGCCATCTCACATAATTTACATCAATCTCAGATACCTTTATATTTAACAACTTTCCTTCTTTCTGATATCACGTTGTAAAGAAGAAAAATTACAATACTACAGGCTCTTACTTTTAAGATGTTGCAAGGAAGACATCACCATACCATTCTACTCCTACAAGCATCATGCAAATCTGATTCATTCTCCTCAACTAATGAATATGTACAATCAACAAACTTACAATAAAATATCAGTACTGTACCAATAGTTCTTAGACTACAAAGTAGAGATTCC